TAACATATAAATTATTGATGGAGAAATTATTAATGAAACTTAGTTTCACATTTTCTCATTATTATAACTTTCTTCAGAGGATCGACATACTCTTAAATTATCGGAATTAGTAAAATTCGGAAGTAGACACTTCATTATTAAAATCCGATTGAGATAAATTATTTTTTAATTAATGAAAACTGAACATGTTAAAGACTGTCTCAGTTAGTTCTTACTCTGTTTAGGATATTCAAATGTAGTTTTTTACGAAAAAAAAGTTATTATGTCGGCAATAGTTTAAGTTAAGTTTGATTGAACTATTCATTAAATATCAGTGCATTAAGGTTGAGATATAGATGAAGTAAATAGATTTCATAATTAGTAATTTTTTTAAATTGATTTATTGGTTTTTTATCTTTTAAAAATGGATTATTGGTTTTTTATCTTTTAAAAATGGATAAAACACTCCATATGGTACTCTTGAGGAATCGAAACCATGTCTTGAATTTCTTGAGATTTCGTTTCATACGAAGATGATATTCATATGGGATAGATTGCAAACAATTATTTTCCAGTAAATTTTTGTGCATTAATATGTGAATAAATGAATGCTAAAATTAATAGAAAAAAACGAAAACTCGAACTGAAGTTAGATCTTAAACAATTAAAATTTGTCTAAAGATGTTTGAACTCTGCAATCGTTGAATTTCCTACATTTATTGATAAATTCAATTAACTTTAAATTGCGCTAATGAAATTGTATTGCCTTTCGTTTGTATTCTAACTCGTACTATTGCGTACTCGTACGCAAAAATAAATAAATAATTAAAACAGTCTACACTGAATAACTTTTGATCTAAAGATTGGATCTTCACGCTCTAAGGATTCAATCTGAATCGGGAGAATGACCTCAAGTAATTTCCATTTCCTCCATTTTTCCCCCAAAGGATTTGGGTTTCTGACCCCCAAGTAGTTACAATCTGGGAAATTTGATCCCCATCGTTTGGTCAGGAGAGCGATTCAAAGTTTGGACCTCTTAATGTCAATTTTACTTTTTGCATATATCGCCATATCTTGAGAACTTTTTAAATGAATTCAAAAATCCTTGCACATAATTATAAAATTCGTTTAACCAAATATTATCTCATACAAAAAATAAATTTTCGAAAGTATTTAATAATTTTTATTACTATGTTAAATAATATTCAAAAGAACTTTGAATTGTGAGGTATAAAATTTTTTACATCATTTTAAAATGCGTAAATGGGCAAAATACAAATTTGTGCGAAATTGACCAAAAGTTTCTGAGAAATCGAATTCTAAGATAGTCGTATGCTTAAAATTTAATTTCTCAGGAACTAGATAACCGATTTCGCTTAAATTTTGATTTTATCGTACAAAATTAAGTAATTTAAAATGATGTAAAAAATTTTACACTTTCCAATTCAAAATTTTTTTCGACTATTGTTAAATAAAATAATAAGTATTTACTAAAATTTATTGTTCGTATGGAATTATTTTTGGTTAAGCGAATTTTATTTTTGTGTGCAAACATTTTTCATTTCACTTAAAAAGTTCTCGAGATATGGCGTAATACGCAAGAAATAAAACTAACATTAAGGGGTCAAAACTTTCCATCATTCATTCGACCAAACTATGGGGACATTAATTCTCAGATTGCTAGTACCCCCTATATTTTTGACTTCAGAAACCCGAATCCGTTGAAAAAAAAGGTATGTATGTTCAGAGAAAGTAAGTTTTTGTGTCTGATTTCGTAACATAAAATATCGTCTGCACTAATTAATTAGCATATTTGAGGTCACCCCCTGGTACCATTAAGATGTGAAGATTCGATCATTAGATCAAAAGTCATTCTGGATGATTTTTTTATTTTGGAATGCTGTCTTTGGGACTACTAGTTAATGCAGATGACTTTTATTTTATTTTGTAACTAGTGGTTGAACAGTCAAAACAATTCTGAGTTTACGACTATCAATGTTCAACTCCATAGCTTTGTAATTTTGAATCCAGCCTAGGAGACAAAGAAACTCCTGATTCAAAGATTGGGATGAACTAACCTTCGCGGTGGCTTTTTGATGGAACTTATCCACATTTGTGTTACATAGAGAAAAAGTGCGAAAGCCTACCACGGTTAACCCGATGGCAAGGAGTTTTACATTCCGAATCACATTTTATAAGGAGCATTTTGAATCACGGTTTACATTCTTCGTTTTGATTGATCGACACTTGATAAAATCCTAAGACAAAGTGCGAAATATTTATCATTTTATAGTTTATATTCGATTTTTAGGTATCTTCTGACAAGAATAAAGAAGTATTTGTAAGTTGCTATTTGTAAGTTCAATAGACAAAACATACTATTGCACACATTTACCGATAATTATATAATTGCCAGCTGTCTCAAATCCCGAATTGATCACATTCTCCATAAAATTAAGATTAACTTGTTTCGTAACTGAAGTAGTTGTGTCTTATTTTGTTTTATAACTAGCTTTGAACAGCTGACCCAATTCAGAGTTTACGACTATCAATGTTCAGATCAGTAGCATTGTAGTTTTGAACCCAATCCTGAGGACAATAGAATTCATGGATCAAGTATTAGCTACTAAACTAGTGACTTTTGGAGGAACTTACCCGTATTTGCGTTACATTATGAGGAAAACCATGAAAATCTCCCGCTGTTGGCCAGACGGCAAGGGGTTCTAATTCATGATCACCACTCAGGATATTTTATGTCAGCACTGTGGTCTGTGCGATCAGGGGCAGAATTTGCATTGACTAGCTCCCACTGGGATTCAAACCTGGCTCACCTTTTTGGGAGATGAGCGATCTATTCCCTGAACTATCGAGGCTCAAAGCAGTTGTATGGAAATAGACATAAAACTCATCGCAACAGCTAGTTGATATTTAAGAGGTCACGGAGATTAACACTCCTAGATGTTGACGGGATAATGCAATGTGGTCAGCACGCCCTTAATTCATAGAAAAGCTGGTACTTATAGATCTGAAGGGTTGAATTCAAACCGCCACCAGAAATTGAACCCTGGTCCCTCACAATGACGACGCATTGTGTTTTACTTCTTTGCCTCTGCAGTTTTTATTTTGTTATACCTCTCATGTATTCTTGAGTATTGCCCAGAGGGTTGGGCAGTTATTATTCCAACTCTTCGGGCACTCTCTTTAGAACTTGAGAACTCGCAGCATTGTGAAGATAGGTGCTTCTATACAGCACATTGGAATGAAAAAATAATCTCTTGCATCGATGAGTATAGCCATTATGAGTTGTATTCAAATAAACATTTACAACTCTTTTGGATATCTCAGAGATGCAGTCGAGGAAACACTACTTTGAAGAAGCATGTAACTTCTGTTTGAAAGAGACTCCGGAAATGATAAGTTTGGTAAGTTCAGAATTTTTTAATCATTCAAAGAGACATTCACAGCTCTTTTGGACATCTCAGTGATGCAGTAGAGAAACTACTCTACTTCGAACAAGAATAAAACTTCAGTTTGAAATAGATTCCGGCTAAGGCAAGGATAGTAAGTTTAAAATTTTTTCAGCAAAGAAGTAGACATTTATAATTCTTTTGGATACATTACAGATGCAAAAAATGAAATTCAACTTAAAAGAAGAATGTAATTTCAGTTTGAAATAGACTCCGGATGAGACAATGTTGGTAAGTTCAGAATTTTTTGCGCATTCAAATAAATATTCAGAATATTTTTAGATGTAAGAGAGAAAAACTCGACTTCTACCAAGAATGCAACTTCAATTTGGAATAGGAAAGATTGGTAAGTTAAGATTTTTTCATCGAATTAATAAAGAATTAATTTCCCCGCATTTCAGAAATTCCTCATTTTTAATGTTCTGTTAGATTTAGTACAATGTTTTGAAATTTGGAGCCTTTTGAGCCATAATATCATTAAAAGTTGCTGCAAAACTGGTATGGTGCTAAGTTGAACCACATTATCGTACTTATAAAACTGGATTACACGATACTATTCTTCAAATTCCACCAGAACCTTAATCTATTAACTCCTCAAGATTGCGCAAATTTGCACAGCATTAAGGTTCAAAGATACCGGTATTATGGTTCAAAGTTAAAATGATCTTTCTGAGAGTAAAATGTTAGTTTTTAATAAGTATTTTCTACTTCATGAAAAATATTGACTGTTTCAAACTTTTCCAAAAGCGTAAAAAAGAAAACAATAAACTTTTAAGTTTGAAAATAGTTAATTTGTAACATAAGAAAACAGAACTAAATTTAGAATTCTTCAATGTTACAAAAAGCTTTTTTAAGGAACATTTTTACAAATTTAAAACAAAAAAAATTCAGAAAATTTAGATATGTGGACATTTTTAGGAACAGTGTCCATTTTTGTGAACAAAAAGTAAGAAAAAATATTGGAGTATGAATATTAAATGTTAGAAATATTTAGTAGAATTAGGATTTATAGGCATTGAGTAAAAATAGGTTTGTAAAGTGGATGTAATGATGAAAAGTTTTTAAAATTCCTATTGTTAACTAGAATTAATGATTAATTTCAATATTGATATAATAGAAACCATCTGCACTACAAATAGAGCAAATCCGCTGCTATGTTTCCCCATCTCCCTTTCTAGTTCTTCTTTCTTTCTATTCTATTATGAACTGTTTCTTCGCTTGCGCCTGAGTAGGTCATAATAGGGAAGCACCCTTAGACGCATACATCAACGTTTCCGGTCATGGATTTCTATGCAATTTTAATTCTGACGATGTGCCCTAAACTTCCTTACAAGTTTGTCGCAAAAAAGAAACTAAAAATGTCATTAAAAAAAATCTGAAGCTTTAGGAGCAAAACTAATTTCATGTTTAAATAAATACCCACATATGAATCAAGCAAGATCAAGAACTTGTATGAATACAAAAAAACATTTGCTCTTCTGTGTTATCTGTTCAGAACATTTTAAGAACTGAATAAGTGAAGAAAAACAGTATGTACTGAATAAATACTATACATCAGTGTACAAAGTTTTATTCTATGCCAGTGCCTTTACAAATGTATGAAAAGCTTCATTTCTGAAAAACGCATCGCTCATTGGTGCTTTCATGAAGACTGATCACATAAAAAAGTTTCTTTTGCTTTGATGAAAAGTTTCATTTCATTTTGAATATAAACATCTTCAATGCAATTTCTTAAGAATTCGATGAAGTATATAGTATACTATGTTTATAACGTTTGAAATCTATTACGTCATTGAATGATTTAAAAAAAAATTAAACAAATGATTAAGTTTTTAAATACATAGCAGGAAATTTATAAAATGATAAAAATTCATTTTATCACTAAAAGATTTAAAAGAAATCAAATAAGTTACTATTAAAAAAAAACATCAGAGTTTTTAAGCATACAGAATAAGAAAGCTATATAATGATAGAAATCAATTTTATCACTGAAATAAAAGGGCATTTTTAAAAATATAAGTTTAAATTTTATTTAACAATTCATAAGTCGGTACCTAAATGGGAATTATTATTATTATTTTAAAATTATTTATGCTTTAAAGTAATTACAAGTAGAATATTATTTCTTTTGGCACCAGTTTCAAGCGTGTTTTCTAGTGTAACCAAAACCTATATATTTAAAAAGTTTGCCATATTCTATTAATTTATATAGAATATTATAAATTGAAAATTAACAATGTTTTCAAGTAATAATGATAATTATTATTATTATAATTGTTTTTTGTTACCAGTTAATGATTTTTCCAGTTAAGGGAATGGTTGTATATTTAAAAGTTTGCGTTCTCAATTCAAATCACGTATTCAATTTTATCATTATTTTGAAGCTAACATTATTTAAAAAAATATTTGCTGATTAAAAATTAATATTTTATACACATAAATATAAATTTTAGCATTTTAGATACTTCAGTATTTGGCATCAAAAAGGGATTTTTATTATAATTATTATTTTAAACTATTGTTATTACCAAAAAAAGGCTAATGTGAAACTTGAGTTTTTAAAAATACACGTTTAGGTCTTCAGTGGGTGTCCAAAGAAAATTATTATTTTTATTGTTTGTTACTTAGACAAATACTTCTAAAAACTGAGTAGAAATTTCTAAAATCGTTAGAAATTTATCTTTTATTTTTTAAAAAGAATCCTCACAAAAATATTATATTTTTAAGTAAATAATTAAAATACATTCTAATTATTGGAAATGAATTGTGAAATAAAATTAACTTTTCGCGAATAGAAAACCATGTTAATAAGCTTTATCTTTATAGTCACCAATTCCCTTATCGGTTATCTCCAAATCCTGAAAATGATTTGTATTCATAAAAATGATTTAGTTATACATTGCAGTTTATTTTAAATTTTTCATAATTTTTTGGGGAAAATTTTTATCTTTACATTTTTTGCTGCTAAATTTCACGTTTTTGTAAGCATTATTTAACAATTTTGAAATTTACGTCATTTAAATGATTATGATAATTCTGCATTATGATAACAACTGTTTTTAATGCCTAATCATAATTTTTAGTGCCATTGCTGCAATTAACTACTCTAATTATGATTTTTTAGGACTTTTCAAAGCAATAAATTCTGGCGAGGTTTATAAAATGTATTCCGTTTATACTTATAATACCCATGTATTCAACTAAAATTATAAATACCTTCAAAAAATTATGGATAACAAGATTTATTAAAAAGTTCCCCCAATAATAATAATATTCAGGCATTCAGTTAAAAATTTCAAACACATTGAAGTAACTAAGAATAATAAGATTTATAAAACTAATTTCGTTAATATTGCACTGTAAAAAATTCCAAATCAAATTACGGTACAAAGTATCGGTACTTTGGGTGGATCATCCGTAAAATCTGTTTTACAGTAAAATCCCCTTTTAACGTAATATGGTATAGCGTAATTTTTACAGAAATATTTATTTAATTAAAGTGATTCAGGGATATTATAAGTTAATTATTGGTTCATATAATGGTATATCAGATTTTTCGTTCCGTAGCATGTTCCGGTAAAACTGGAATGTACTGTAAAAAGTAACCGCATTCTGAGTGCCGGTACTTTTTGCACTTTTTTTCAGTGTACTTACAATTAAGTAAAAATAACAATTTTCTTTAACATTTATTGCTAAATAATGTTTCATTATGAGCTTTTTCTTTCACTATGAACGTTTTATTTAAGTTTCCTTGAGAAAAATAAAATAAAAAGCTTCTACTTAATTTACGGACTGTTTTTGTAATTTATTTAGTTTTTTGAAACTGTAAAATTTAAAGCAAATATATTTAACAGATTAAATAAAAATAGCATTAATAATAATTAATTAATTCGTGATGCAATTCGCCAAGCATTTACTATTTTATTATTAAGCAAAATTATTGGAAATGTTATTTCAGTTGGTACCCATAAAAGATTCTATTTTTGAACTATTTGAAGACAACTTTTATCATTTATTTAAGAAAAAAATTTAAGACTGTAAGAAAATAAAATTGAAAGTATTTAGCAAAATAAGCATTATTTCGTGGAATATTAATTTAAGGAAACAATTGAAACAAAAATTGTTTATAAAAGTAGTAGGATATAAATTCTAGTTAATTACAAATAAATATAAATGTTCCCAAACTACACAGCATAGATCAATGCATAGAAAAAAATTAGATGAATGTTAAAATAAATAAACATAAATTTCATTCATTTGAAGAAACTTTTTTTGGTAGCGGCTACATGCTGGATGCTTTATAAAACCATTACTAAAATGAAAGAGCAAATCATTCATACAATATCATCACATAGAAACGTGGCGCCACAAACGTTGTTAATAGCAGCTAGAAAGAGTTGCAAATTATACATAATCTACAAGGAACTACGAAAAAAAATTATACGTCATTTTTATTTCCACATATGTTGCACATTTACGAACAATGCTGCATCAGGAGTTTCTCAAAGTTTTGGACAGCCTCCTAAAAACATCATAACATCGTTATAGTATGGGGTGACACATCTTCTCAAACATGCTAGATGAATATCGAACACATACTGCTGCATGGAATAATGCACCAAGTCAAACATACCACTTGTTTATCGAACACATCTTGCTGCATGGCATGCACCATGTGTAACATGCTAGATGTATCTCAAACGCATCCCATTTCCGCAACGGACCGACTGAAAGTTCGAGCATCACCTGTAGTAGCATTGGCCGAAAATGTGCAACCCATGTAGAAGTATAATAGGAATAAATTAGTGTAGAATTTTGTACATTGTTTTGTAAATTACGTATAATTTGCGACCTTCTCTAGTGGGTCGGATAACGTTTTTGACCTCGTGTTCCCAATTTTTTTTGAAGCACCCAAAACATTTAGACACTTATATTTTAATAGAGAAAAAACAAAAATATCACTGAAAAAATTAATTTAAATACATATGTATCGAAAAAGAACAATATAAACAAAAAATACATGTTTTTGGAATGTTTCATATTTCTTCACAGAAAACACAACATTCTTTAAGCAGTTCAATTGATGACATTCTATACTTTTATTTTGTTTATATTGCACATTTGCCACTCTTTTTAGAAACAATCATTTCTGTCGTTATCAGCTCAAAATTATTCTCTTAAAATGTTTTAGAACAAATGACACATAATTCTTGTGGGAGATATAAGCAGAAATTGTTTTTTTGTTGTCAGTCTCAGTGATTACTGTTTGTATATATTAATGGCCTGAGTTCCCGCCTCAGGACGATGCAGAAGTTTGCGGAATGTGAAAAAGCAAAAATATTTCTTTGATATGACGATGGCTTGCTTTTTTAGCACTTTTTTCGGAAGAGTTGATTTTGCAGTATTTCTCTTCAGTTGTCTTTTCGGGGGTCTTAGTCCACGAAGAACACACCACCATTTTCTATAAAAAAATGAAAAAAATATATAAATAAAAGAAAAAAATATATAAAATTGAATTATTTTACATCATCATATTCTAAAATTCGTATAACTGTAATTTAGAAAAAACATTTAAAAAATGCACAGAAACATATTTATTTACTCTTTAGAACATTAAAATATTTGATTTTCTGAAATAACCTTTTTTGAAACCTCTCATTTATGTTTTTAAAAATACGTTTAAAATAATTTCAAGTACTATGTCATAGAATTTATTGCGCTGTTCTTCTTTTATTACCAAATTTCAACAAAATTTTGTGAAAATAGTTATTATATTTTATTCCATATATCAAAAATCGGCTCATAATCTATTAACAAATGGGTTAATTCTATATACACTCCTTGTGTTTCTTAGGTTTTTACTAAGTCCCTAAATGCCAAAATGTTTTATCGTAAAAAGTTATACTTCGAATTTAAAATACTTGTTGAATTTAAAATATTATATAAATATTTCTTTGGTTCAAAATATAATATCACTTAAAGCTTAAGTAAATTTAAAATCACCAAAAATTTATGAAGAGTTTTTACTCTAATGCTAAAGTATATAAGAAGGAGGCGTTTTTATTCAAAATTTAGCAAAATGGCAACACCCTCGTTTATAGCACCCTGCTAATGTTAAATGTTAAAATAATTGTTAGATAGGTGACTTTATTGTTTTCTTTTATTATTTTTTAATTGGAAGTTCTTCGCAATTGTTTGGTTACTCATTGTATATTAGTTCTAAAAATGCTTGGATGTTAATTCTTAAAGAATATCGTGTGTTTACTCTAATCCAACCAGAGCGGTTTTGAAATTTAAATCAATATTGTTTAATTCAAGGTTTTCATTTTTCTTGAACTTACTGCCCCATTTCTTCCATAAATACTAAGTTACTTAATTGTTCAATATCTATTTCTCTTCTTCTCTCGTTTTTCCTAATAATCAAATGAACTCTATCGTTATCTGCCTTGAGCGGTCTTTTGACAGCTGGAAAGAAAAAAAGCGGTCTTTTGCCGGCTGGATATATGAAATTCTATAAAACTTTCTACACTGAAATCTCAAACTTACTACAGATTTTAAGCTTTCCAAGAAAATGTCATAAGATTGTTTTTATTTATGTAATTTTATGTCTATTTAACGTTTATTTAACGTTAGTTTATGTCATGTGCTTATATAAAGTTTGCTTTATGCTGGGTACTTTTTGTGTCGACTTTTGGTAACCCAAGAGGCAAAATAACGTTCAATGTGGTTCTTTACGCTGTGTTACAAATACCGTATTTATAATAATATAACAGGCTACAAACTTCAAGTAGAAAATAAATAAAAATGCAAGTATTAATTTCTTCATTTTATTATTGGTGGATTATTCAGACACAAATTCAAAAATTCAGCTCTAAAATGACGATGAAAAGGAAATTGTTGGAAGAAATAAATAAAATTGAACTCTGCTCTGAAATTGATGAAAACGAAAATTCCACGAGTAAGAATGCTATATATGATCTATTAGACTGAAGTAATGAGGAAGTTAAGAACACGCGTAGTGGACGAAATCGAAGGAGGGTGTTCTCAAGTTCCGAAGACAAATGTAAAGAGAACAATCAGAATATTGAAAGTTTTTTTTCATTATACTAAGTATTTTAAGTTTTATTTCCCTTGCTAAATTCTATATTATTTATGATAGAACGGAAAAAAATGTAGCGTCTTTTTTGAAATCGATCATTTGACCACCATCGGTTGAAATAGGTATGGATAAAATGTCGGTAGGTTTAGTGTTAATCAAGACAAAAGCCATTTTGTTAAGTAAATTACGATTTCTTTTGATTTCTCCCATTTTTTTTCTGTTTTTAGATTTATTTTAATGTATAACAAAATATATTTATGGATGACATTAAACCATTAATTCTTTTAAACTAGGGGTGCACAACCTTTTTCAGTGAAGGGCCACATGCACAGTAGATTGACCAATGAAGGGCCGCATGCCTAAGTGTTTAGACCGACATATTGAAAGCAATTGTTGGTGGTGATTGTTATATAAACATCATTGTTTACATAACACTAAATTCCTTTTGTCGGTTAACCTTGTAATCTCTTTGCAGAAAATACAATACTTTAAAACGTTATGAATTAGAAAATGCAAAACTGATTACTTAAGAAGGAAAACAGAATTCGAAAATGAGAATCAATTTATCGGAAAAAATTTAGATAAATTGAAATAATTAAAAAACTATGGAAAAATTGAAATTTTTTTTATCACATTACNCAAAAGTGGTAATTAAAATTCGTAAATCGTAATAATGATGTATTAAAAATATTGTGATTTTTAAAACTATGCCGAAATCCGTAGCGTTAACCATCGAAGAACTACATTGATTGAGATTGGGTGCGTCAAAAACTTAAAAGTGTAAATTTAAATTACCGAATTTTTTTTATTATTTTTCAAAAACAAATATTTAAATTTTTTTTTAATTTTGTTCAGATTGCGGCAGCGGGCCGCACATCGATGGTTGGCGGGCCGCATTTGGCCAGCGGGCCGCAGGTTGAGCACCCCTATTTTAAACTAATGACTAGTTTGAGAAAAGCATTATTAATGCAGATTTTGTTTTCTCAGTTTATAGCAGAATTTATCATATGACAGAATGAACTAAACAGGAGTAAATAAAAATATGCCAGTAACACTTTATATGTAGAATAGAGCTAAAAATTAAAATAAAAGATTCGGAATTTTCCGAAAGTTTAACGTTGCTACATAAATGATCAATATGTAAACATTTTAAACAATGACATAAATTCCCACTATTCTTTAATTTTTCTAGGAAAGCAAGAAAAAATACAACTTTGAGACTAAGCTTCTACAGAGAGAAGTATTTCACTAGTTCATTCCATAATTCTATAAAATCACCGTTCATGAAATAATCGTACAAAGTAAACAGAAATATATCAAGAGGCACTACTTAATAAACCGTAGAGTGTAAACTATTTAAATCTACAATATCAACAAACCGTTGTCTTTTACCGTTTCTAGAAGACGTAAAGGATTGTTTTGGTTGGAGAAACTTTAAAATTGCATACTTTTCATTTAGCAATAAGGCGTTGCTAATGCAAATCACAATTTTTTTCTTCTCTAAGCAGATAACTTGTTATTATTTTCCCCGCAAAACTTTCCTTTCTGTAGTTAATTTTGCTCTTTTACGAAAATTTCTTCCGTGAAATTAACTAACTTTTGTTCTTCTAAAACTATTTCTTTCTCAGTTAACTAGTTTATTTTCTGAAAAATTGTTTAAAAACTGATTATTTCAGTATAAATCTTTGGTAGAGAATGAACAGCTACTAAATCTGAATTGTTTTCCGTTATACCGTTTTGTACTATAAATCCCGTTTGGGAAATTAGCCAATGAACATGTAGTTAAAATGAATCAATATATTACATTTTCTGAATTATACTCAAACATATTAAATTAAACAATATATTAAATTCCCTTGAGTATTTCTTAACCGTTTTATAATTTTAAACATTTAAAACACTTACTTGATGAGTGTCATTGTTTGATTTTGATTACTGTCTGAATATTGTTGGGTTCTGGACACAGTTTGCATCCGGATACTGTGTAAATAGATATTTCTGAAACAATCAAAAATAAAATTTATTGCTTTCATTATTTCGAAAGCTAATTATAAGTTCTAATTGTTAAACTTTGCTATTGTTTAAAAGAAAGTATCCTTAAAAAATTAGTTAAAACCGGACAGTTGTTTTAGTGCCATAAATAAATACTTTCGAAACTGAGACAGTATTTTTTTCTGTCTCACCATTAAGGTTGACGGTTGCTTATAGTATCAAAAAAGTAAGAAAGGTTTGTGTGTAACGTGTCAATGAACGAATCAGTTTGTAAATAAATAAATGAATTAAAAACTAATAATTTTTGATGCAGCAGTTGGCAATAAAAATTTTTTAGACTCTTTTTCGATCTTTAATGCATTGGATTTTTTTTAAAACTGAGCAAACATTACCGTCTAAATTCCTAAGTGTTTGTTTGTAATGAGAAATTTATACGTTAATTCGCATCATCATATTCAAGTCTTCTTGCTCTGATATAAATGGTAAAATTGCTTCTTCAATATTATGCAATATCATTTGATATTATGTCTTCAACTATATATATATATATATATATATAAAGAAAAGGCAAGAAAATTTTACGGTTAATTGGATGGGCAG